GGTCTCCCTCGTGGTCGAGGGGCGGAATTTTCATCCCGGATCGCGAGGGTGCGAGCCTGTTCCACGAGTACTCGTGTCTGTTCTAGGAGCGCTTTCAGTGCCGCGGCACTGGCATCCTCCTTTTTTAAAGTTTTCGCAGGCATTTTCTTTCCTGGCCCGACTTTTCCTCTGGCTGACAGTAATTTTCGACTGTCTAGTCCTTCCTCCTCGGATTTCTGCTCACATTCGGAGAAGTCCTCCTCGGTTTCACTACTTCCTCGTCGCTCGTCTTGACGATCGTTACCTCGAGAGTTGCCAGAACTTCCGGCTTCCTCTAGAGGATATCTCCTCGGGTTGGTACCCTCTGGGTCTACCATCTCCGTTTCTTCTCCCTTAGGCGATTTCTCGACCTTTGATGGATCAACTTTTGGTGCCATTTTTGGTCCCCAATGCTTTTCGAGTTTCGCAGACGTATTACCTCACGCGTCTCTCGACAAGAAAGAATAACTTCTGCCCGTTTGCGTAATTATTATTACATAATTAGCACCGTTAACCCAATTAATAACCGCGAGGAAATTTAACACGGGATTCCCCACCTGTTGCACGTAGCCGCTCGATGGCTGCCTCGATGGCACCACTAGGGAGAACCACTGGCCTTGTTCGTTGACCTTGGACAATTTCACCCAAAATTCACATAAAAATACCCTCAAAATCCCACAATTCACACCAATGACCTCCCAACCGCACTGGGGGATAATGCAAGCCGAAATTATTCGGAAAAACCCTGTACAAACCTCTTCAAAATAACCCAAAATTTGGGGGACACAACCGATGCCATTTCCATGGCTCGGAAAAATCTCATAACCACCAATAATCATCAGGGAGCCGCCAAAAAAGGGGAAAATATACAATGAAAACCGTAAAAACTCACTTTGGATCCCCTGGATGCCTTTCTTTTCCGTTTTTGGGCCATCCTGGGTATGATGCGATGTTCTGGGTGGTGCACTCGTCACGTCTCACTACTTACTTTTCACTCACGTGCGTGGTGTTTCACGGTCAACGCGTAACTGATTTTCGGAGGTCAGTGTCGCGTTACGCTGACCCCCTAATCACGCCTACCAATCGATCCGGTGTCGATTGGTGGATCCCTCTACCCTATTAGGGGTCAAGGTACAATTCCGATTACTTTAGCGCCACAGTCTGATGGTGGTTTCCCGTAGTATTTTGTCTTGCGAGTTCGAGAAAAATAATGAAAAAATTCCCTCTACACTGTATTTCGAGATATAAAGGGAAAAAGGGGCAAAATGGACCTCTTTTTTTTAAAAAATATGGTTTATATTTTATATATCATTAAATAAATCTAAATCTATAATATCATATTATATGAAAATTTCTAGCCTTTTTTTTAACCTTTATACCATCTAGCGGATTTTTCACGAATTATATAAATTCGAATGAAATCTTGTCGCCATTGTTTTTCTTCATTCTCCTTTGTTTTTCAAAGCGTGTTAATCAGGCAGCCAAGCAAATTAGAGTTTTTTTGTGATTTTAAAGTGAATTAAAAGTGTTAAAATGTCTAACACATCCTCTCATCCTCAATTGCATCCAAAGCTTCCTCATTTTTCTATATTTACCTCATTTGGAGGGCTTGTTCAAACAAACAGACTTTACCTCCACGTGGTGCATTCTGGGTAACGCCAAAACAGTCTGGAGATAAAGCCAAAAACTAGCCAAGTTCCCCCCTCACTTTCCTTTTTTTTTGTGTTAATAAGCATGCTGTTTTCAAGGCAGAAAAAAAGCGGG